TCAAAATAAAAACGACACTTTTCCCTCCAAAAGGTCCAGAGCGAATCCTCGTCACTTTGAGATTGAGAACAGTGTGACCATTTGTGGCAGATTTCTGCCTTTTGGGTAGATTTAATTTTTATTCATTTTCATTTTCATCTTGAAGATGGATATATCGCCATTAAACAAAAACCTCACTTTTTTGAAACAGAAACTTTTACCACACCTCGGACACTCCTTACAATGGTAGAAACTTATTTGACTACTACGTACACGAAGGCGCCGTTTGCACACACGCAAATGTGTGGGTGAAGCGAGTTGGGTTATCCACTACTTCCTTGAACTATTTATTTTCTGGTTTAACGTACACGGTGCCTTTGTAAGAATAAATTAATCTATTGTTATGTAAGTAATATGATCATTACGTACACTAATGATTTTATATATTAAATACCAAAACAACCGTAAACTACACAAGTTTAATATAGTCAAATAAGCAGCTTAAAAGATTTAACATAATAGGTGAATAACACTGCCATAGATTACCTACACCAAAATATTTTCTTTTAAATAAAGTAGAAATGTTTAACTGTTATAAAAATTCGAAACTTAAACATCAAAATCGTCCATAGCGAACGGCTCGATGACAGCCTTGTAACCGTTCCGTCAATATGAGGGGCGCGGTGTGGTATCTAAAACAAGGGGGGCGGAGAGGGACCTTTCTCATTACTTTTTATTCTCTGTTTTAACGGCCTCCCGAAAGTTGAGTTTTTCGTTTAGTGACGATATTGGATTCAATGTTAGATATTACAATAAGATTATTTGTAATGTTTGGAGCGAAGTACAATATATGCAATTGAGGTGCGTTATTGCATCGTAACATTGAAATTATTGCTCAAGTCCCTTATAAGCTAATTTTCTGGGTCAATCAGGCCAGGCAAGGTAAATCTATCTGGATAATAGGGAGAGCGCTGTACATGCACCCGGGGCGTTCACCCAATGCCCTTCGCTTATAACCAGAAGATGGGTAGGGAGGGCACTATAATCAAAACTTTGTAGAAGATATGGGATTGCTCCTGTTACTTGCCAAGAGTTCTGGTGTTTTTGTTCCCAAAAACCTTGTGACGATGAGTAGAGCTAAAGTATTTTGTAATATTGGTTTCAGTCCTATTTACGGGTTATGACATATAAAGCATAATCAATTATCCCTCTCCTACATAACTGTTCTAACTCACATTAGGCAATTTTTTGGTTCCATTCAATAACCGTTGATCCATTATGCGTTCCTTGGGTTCAGGCCCTAAACTCTGGCCCTCCGTCCAATAAGTTGTAGTCGACCAAATTAAAAGCCGCTTGATGCGAATATTTATTTAATAATGTTTATTTTACAAAATAGTGTACAACATAATAATGAAGTCCCTGACTCCTGAGCTAGGTATAACCTGTGTGACAGGAGTCAGTGTCCTCCACAAATTTTGAGAAGGCCTAGTCTATTGAGAAAAAAGAAAGTAATAGAATTTATTATAATTACAGCATTGTTTCTAATAATTATTATAAATTGGATACATTTTAATATGCAAATTGTGATAAATATGACTGTATGTTTGGGTGTGTGTTGTGTGTGTGTTTGCGCGTGTGCGTGTAGGTTTACATACAGTTTGTGTAAGTACTGAGGTGTTGTACGAAATTGTTATGACATATAAAGCATAATCAATTATCCCTCTCCTACATAACTGTTCTAACTCACATTAGGCAATTTGTTTAGGGCCACCTATAGCATGTACAGTCCTATACACAAGATACCTGACCCCCCCAAGCCGACTTTGTCGACCTTTTGGTTCCGAGCACAAAAATGTGGAGAAAATTGTTAAACAAACTTAATCTTTAACCTATGAGCCGTAAAATTTTATTTGTTATGGCTCTCTTGTCGTCTCATTAGCGAATGACATTTTAAGAAAGTTTCTAAGCGAATTTGATCATTAACGTGTGGTTCTTACTTAAATATAGAACACAAATTTCAACCAGCTTTAGTAACGCCGTAGTGGCCAAACGGAATAAGGATAGCTTCGCAAATTGAGGCAAGCATGGTTTCGAATCAAGCATGGTTCGAGTCAGTTTAAAAATAAAACTTTGTTTAGATGACTATATAATATTGTTTTTTATTTTAACGTCTGGATAGATGTAAGGAATGTCTAAGTCTTGTTCATATAGAACAATAATTTCTGATTTTAATAATTCCGTTAAGTGTTAAGTTAATATTAAAACAAGAATGAAAACTTTGAAAGTCACTAAAACCTTGAAAGTAATTAAAACTGAATAGACAAATAGGAACGAAACGTGGAACAATGCGTAATCACAGAAGTCACGATCGTATGCAAACTGCGATTTTGTGCTTTGTTAATCTATCCATACCCACCCTACGCTTTATTAATAATATCTACCCACCCACCTTAGGCAATTTCTAGTGAACAAATATTGTGATTTGTCAACGTTCACATTAAAAAGTGAAACATTGCTGTTAAAAATATAATGTTAAAACATTGACTTACAATTATATGGACGTCGGGTCCGCGCTAAAAAGTGTCCGCACTTGTAAGGCGCTAAAATCGTATACAGAGCGACATTCACGCTTTAGTCTTCGTTTGTTCGACTGACAGCGAAGTAAGCAAAATTAGACAGTACTGCGATGACATTACAATTTAAATTCAACGTTTTAGCTTTTTCATATTCCTTTACATGTCACTACGTTTAAATAGGTTGACTTGGGACATTTTTGTCGTGGTTTTTGTATTAGACCCGTCGTCCATTTATTTCTAAGTCAATGGTTCTAGATCTAAATCTAGTTTTTTACGACTAGAACCGCTTTAGTCTTCATTTGTTCGACTGACAGCGCGATACTGCGATGACATTACAATTTCAATTTCGAATAGGTTGACTTGGGACATTTTTTTTCGTGGTTTTTGTATTAGACCCGTCGTCCATTTATTTGTAAGTCAATGTGTTAAAACAAAATAGTGCTCGTGGAATCAAACCACGGGTATTGTAACTGGCAGTCGCTACAAGCCGCTCGTCCAATTTACTTGGAAGTTAAGTGAGGAAATTTAGTATTGGTTTTAAAGATATGTTGATTATCTTCAAGCAACACTCCACTGTATTGCTTACAGAATAAAGTTGAAATTGCTTTATTTTTGTCTTTGTTCAATACGTAAGATGGTTCCCCCAACCAAAAAGTCGGTTTGGGCATGTTAGGGTGTCAGGTATCTCATGTATATGACTTGTCAACTTTTATTCTCAGGGTCACGGGCGCAGTGCCAGTGATGTTCAGAACTGCGATTTGGAGCTTTGACCGACACTGCGTCTACTATAGACAGGCGTGTCGCTTGCCACCAGGCGCACGACTTGTTCCTCCCCTCAATTAATATATTATAAAAAAAGAGTGTAAAAGTATAATCCAGGGGGCAGGTAACTCAGGGTGTTCGTGTCGCGTGCACACAGATGTTTACAATTTTACGTTTTTTTAGATATGGTGCCATATATCAATATTTTAGTAATGAGTGATACTGAAAGAGAAAACACGTATTCTATTTTATCGCCAAAGATCACAATATTAAAATTTGGAGGGTGACCAAAAAGCCATCCTGCATAAATTAAGTAGACGATACAATTATGATTGTACATCTTACTCAGTTATGACATAACAGATACTATCTCTTTTGCATCAATATTTTTATATGCTCGTCTATTCGAATTGTTTCAGAATAGGTCTTTTAAAGACACCTCCACTCAGAGTACCGAAGTTCCTTCAAGGACGTATTCTAGCTGCCGTTGTTTCATTTACGGCATACTAAGTGGGACTAGACGAAAGTAACACCGTGTTTTAGCGTTACAGATCAATCTATCGGAAATCGCGTGCGCAATTACTTCTTTTTTATAATATTAATTGACGGGACGGACAAGTCGTGCGCCTGGTGATAAGTTACATGCCTGTCCATAACAGTTGCAGTGCCACTCAGAGCTTTAAATCGCAAAGATGTGAGGGGCATTGCCACTGCGTCCGTCACCCTGAGACATAAGTTGACAAGTTCCATGTGCCTGTAATTTCACCAGCACCCTTACCCTTCTAAACCGGATCACAGTAATGCAGACATTACTGCCTGGCGGCAGAAATAGGTAAGGTGGTACTACTTCCCTAGATGAACTCTTTCACAAGGAGTTCGACTACTACTATAATGCGCAGCCGCATTTTTTCCGTTAAAATTGTCCTTACCGCGAATCAATAAAAAAAAACTCTTCTAAGTCCTAGCACTTTCTCTGTTCTGCTTGAACCAGGCCACTGTCTCCGTAATCGCCACCTGGAAGGGTGTGAACTTGAAGTCTTTGTACAAAGATCGTAGTTTCTTGTTGGAGGCGGTCTTCTTGTACTGGCCGTCGGCTTTGCTGGTATCGTACACGATGTCGCCGGTGTAGCCGTGGGCCTGCTTGATGGTCTCTGCCACCGCGCTTATTGGCAGTTCGTCGTCTTCGTCCACTGAAACACAATCAACGCATAGCTCTAGTTAAATAAATGAAGTAAGAACGCGTTCCCATTGTGTCGTAACGATAAACAGTCGTGCAATTTAAAGTGTCGTGGCTTGCATATATAAACGCAGTTTTTCACATGTAGTACAACACGATTAACTGTCGTTCACGGCTTTTTTGACGTTTCGACATCAGACTGTCGTAACAATGGGAAAAGTTAGAACGTCAGTCGTCCGTCGATAAATCAAACGTCACTATAAGAATGTGACGACGGATAATCGCAGCTTCAAACGATCTGTCGTGCAAACATTCCCACTTTCCCCTTATGTCGTAACGTTTTATTTATCGTTGGACGACTGTCGTGTCTAACAGTTCCCACTAGAGCGTGACGATAATTTATCGGTGCACGTGCAGACAACGATAAATAAAACTTGACGACAATTACTGCGAATATCTGTCGTCACATTTTCACCGTGACGTTTTATTCATCTTCCGACGACTGTCGTTCTAGCTCTCCCCATTGTCACGACAGTCTGTCGTCGTAACGTCAAAAAAGTCGTGAACGACTGTAAATCATGTTGTAATATATGTGAACAACTTCATTTAAATATACAAGCCATAACACTTTCAACTGCACGACGATCTGTCGTCGCGACATAATAGGAACGCGCCCTTAATATAACCATCAAACTGAAATCACTTAAAATCAGCGTCACAGCCTTTTCTCGGCGGTGACATAAGGTCAATGGATCCTTTTACGTACACCACAGTCGCCGTGTGACTATTTAATATTCGCTTTGTTGTTATTATCTATTATTATGATTTTATTTTTATTTTATTTACTTTTTTTCATTAATTTATTTTATTTTTTGTTTTAATTTGGCTTTATCTTTTTTATATCTTTGTTACTGTGTACTTTTATGTTGTGGCGTTGTAATAAATGGTTTCTATTGTTTTCCAATTCTGCCCAAGGTAAAGCTCTTCATCAAACCAAGCTCTTGGCGTCCAAAGGCCATTCGTCTCGATATTTTTTTCACGGGACGCGAATATAAAGCGGCTAAGAGCCCTAATGACAATTAAATACGAAACTATGTCTAAAGTTAAAGTCGTTGACCATGCTAATACCTCATGTTTCATTCTCAAAATCAAAATAATCTTTATTTCATAGGTAACCATTATTACACTTGAAATCGTCACATTGGTTAAACTTTCCCGCTCATTCGTAAGGCAGATTTCCCTGAAAATAATGAGCAAGAAACTCAAGAATCTAGTAAATACATCAGTCATTAATAAGATAACTTATGGACGCCGCAACAGTGTTCGGAAATAGTCGTATCTGGTTTTCCCGATGTTTATTCATTACATTTGCAGCTTAACTTCCTTTTTTGTACTAACCACGAGGTACCAATTTTCATAGAAATTAATTTTTGTACATGTTTTGTCTAAAGGCGGCAGGGCGAGCTGCCCTGCCTCCCGCGAACGTCGTAGGGCCTACATAAGCGGGCCCTTTCAGGCCCTGCTCTCTTTTCCGTGCGCTGCGCCCAACTGACTAGTCTAAGTTTCTTAAACCTAAGTTTGTACATACAATACGTTACTTTCAAATTACAAGTCTCCATAGTACCAAACTGTGTTCTTCATTCCGAAAACCCTTAAATATGTCCTCAGTAAGCAAGATACGGACATGTTTAAAACTGTACATGGCGACACTTGAATAAAATAAAACATAAGGACCAATAACTCAAGAGGATTGCTAATTGTGATACAAGACAGTGAAGTCGGGTATTTAGTACCCATTGGGACACCAGATGTCGCGACGAGTACCAAATAGCTATTTTTATAAGTAATTTTATTTTACATTGACAAGCTGCAATTTATAAAAGCTATTCTAATTTCTAGTGATATCAAACAAGTAAATTAGACGGCGCTAATTGCAAAGACAGTGTCGGTTATTTTTTAAATTTGTTTAGGATAAGCGCCATCTACCCATATTAGAATTATCTTTAAATGAGTTTGTAACACACAATGCCATCTATTGACATGCATATTTATCAAAGTTCAGAAAATAATTTCAGCTCAAGGTCAATATTTAAATAATATTACAAGGAAAAGAACTGACTTCTTATATTTCATATTAGAGAGAAATTAATTGATATCCACGGCCATTCGACTGTGAACTGGCAATTAGTACTATCTAAATTTTGACAACTTTTCAGGGTGAAGAAAAAAATTGTTTGCGTCATTGTATAGCATCTGGTTTGTTAAACAAAAAAAACGTTGTTTTTAAATATTTTTATTACACATGCTTGTACGTATGTATACTACGTATTTTTATTTAATAAATCAGATGCTATATAAATGATTTTTTCTTCAGAATTCTGATCTGTAGTGTGGAGATCAGTAGTGCTCTTGAGTTTTGGTCCATGGTCACACTAAATAAGAAGTACAGATACTTATAAAAAAGAAATGCAAAAAAACTATTTAGCCTTTATTTTAATTAAGGTTTTACTTGGTACCATCTATTGACCAGTGGCGTTAAGAATCAAAATAAGCGTCCCAATAAGCGGAGTCATGAGTGCGACATTTCTTTGTTATAAGATTGGGTATCTGTACTAGTATAGTATTATATTATCCATGGTTCAAACATACCTGACAACATAATGGGCTCCACATTTTCATAGTTTCTGAGCACCCAGAGGAATAACTTGGCAAGGTCCAGCGAGTAGATGAACTGCCGCCGCGGTTTGCCGGTGCCCATTACCGAGAACGTCGGCTCCCCTGGAACAAGACATTTATTATTAAAAGATCGAACAAACACATAGAAAAATTCCCTAGATCCGTTTGAACTTGTACCAGTGTCTATTCCCTCAACGTGGTTACCGCTCTTACAAGCTGACGACCTCGGTGGCGCAACGTTTACACTGTAGGCGCTGGATTCTAGGCTTGTATAGTTCATAAACTACGAACTATTAGGAATATATTCCCGACACTGACCGACATGAACCAGTTCGTTTTGCACGGTCTTAATAGTTCATCGGTCCTTTTAGTTCAGTACGAACCTGTCTGCGTAGATTGTTGACCTGTCTTTTATTCAGTAGGAACGGTACGAACGGGACAACAGCAATCTTTCACTGCTTTTAGTACAAGTTCGAGTGGGATGCACGATTGAACATTGCCAGCTAGTTTTAAGTATCTAATACGTATTTACATTATATAAGCTTATAAAAAAGTTTTTGGTAGGTGTGGTATGAAACCGTTGTAAAAATTGATTTTAAACACACCATTCTAAGTAAAATATAAGTTAGTCCATTATTGCTTTGTAAAAAAGGATACTTAGTTGGAATGAGACTTAAATTTGTAAAATATGAAGGAAAATCAAATAGTTAATATACTTTTAAATATTTAGCACAGTGTGTTATTGACCTCATAATACTTAAAATCCGTGGTAGTTTATGTGAATAAAATAACTAGTTTGTAGCGTTCGTTCAATGTCCGAGGAAGGACAAGGCGAACTAAGTTACTAGACGAACTAAAAGAACTAGAAGACCGACCTAGTACAATAATAATTGACCGATTGAACTAACTAGGATCGCTCCCTCTAAGGACCGATCAGGCACAAGGCTACTAGCTTCACAATCCTTAAAAATGTGTGAACATCCCAACGCGCATTGGGCCAGCGCACTATGGGAAATAGTAGAACAACGGAGTATCAAAAATGGTTTTGACCAAGTCTTAATTGAAATACACATTTAATTTTATTTGATAGTTTAGATGTCATACTTTATTATACTGAAGGTTTTTTTATGTTAGATAGGTACGTTGAATTAATAAAAATACATCCAAAATGTCCTTTCCCGTACTCATCTCGTTGTGCCGTATAATTTTGGAACTTTCGACGTCGTATTTCGTATTGATTTTGTTAGATAAGCTATGTGTTATTATATATATTGTAAGAAGTTATTCGACTTAAAATGTCTCGCAATAAAACCCGAAGTTTTTGAGGCGTACTCTGAAGGTGAAAAGATGCACTGGATATGTCCGGAGTGTGTTTGCTCTTATCCAAAGCGTACGAATACTGACGCACCAGTGCGTAGTAGTACGCCAACTGTGAATAAAACGTACACGAGCAACAACGACAATGTCAACACTCAGCGCGGTAGCGGGAAGTCGGCGTCAAAAGTGGATATTAACGTCAAAATACTCGAAGAACTGAGGGAATTTCGATCGGAAGTAAGGGATCGGTTAGATAAACAGGAAAATGAAATTCAAATGTTGATAGGTTTGGTTTTCTCCAGCAAGAATGATTTTACTGAGTTAAGTCAAAATCTGAGGGTAGTAGAAGAAAAATCTAAGGAAGTAGTTATTACTGAAAATCAAATTGAGAAGCTAGCAAATATACATAACGAAACTCAGAAGATGACTGAAAAACATTTACGTTCGTTTGCAGAAGTTTTGGGTAAAAAACAGGAAATTAAAAACCGCGTCATTAAAAGTACTTCTTTGAAGGGTGGGGCCACGAAGTTGACTAAACCTGCGGTAAACAATCCCACTACCTCCAAACATGGTTCAAGTAATATAATTACACAAGTGCAACATTGCGATTTAGAGGAAGAAGTCTTTGAGGAAAAAGGAAAAGAAGATGATAATTGGATACATGTCAGTAATCAAAAGGAAAAGCGTAGGTCAAAGAACGTGGGTAGAGGTCAAAGTACGACTATAAATACACTACAGGCATCGGAGCGCAAAAAACATCTCCACGTATGGCGACTACATCCCGATACATCAAATGATACTTTATCGGCACATATTAAAAATGTGTGTGGCGAGGACGTTCTTCCTGTCATCGAGAGAATCCAGCATAAAAGTGAAAGAGGATACGCCTCATTCCGTGTCACAGTTTCGGAAGGGGCGTACCCCAAATTGTGCCAACCAGACGCATGGCCTTTAAACACGGAATTTAGTGAGTGGATTTGGTTTCGAAAATACACAAATAGGTCAAATGAACCGTAATAGGTATGTTGAGATTTTCTATCAGAATGTGCGTGGATTGAGAACAAAATTATCTAAATTTAAAAACTTTTTGGAAACGTCGAATTCGGATTTTTTCGCTATTACTGAAACGAGTTGTAATGAATCAATCCACGATAATGAAATTATTCCACCGGGATATCAAATAATACGTAGTGACAGAGTGGACGGCCGCAAACACGGAGGAGCCTTTTTCGTGGCCACACATCGGTTCGAGTTACGAAAACTATCTACCCCCAATTATGTAGATATCGACTCCCGCACGTTCGAGTTTGTTTCTGTTGGTGTGTACAGTAGACTAAATTCTAAGTTTTTGTTTGCATGTAGTGTCGTTTATATCGCACCAAATAGTAAAGAAAATGAATATTTTATTTTATTTAGATTAATAGAACAACTATATAATAAGTATAAAAAATTTATTGTTTTAGGGGATTTTAATCTATATTCATGTTCAGCTAATGTATTAAATTATTACGAATACCTAAAGTCATTTTGTGAATTCACGCAGGCTAATGAGATACCTAACTGCATGGGTCGTCTCTTGGATTTAGTGTTAAGTTCGCGCGAAAACTGTGAAGTTACGGTGCGCGCGGCGGACGAGGCTATAGACCCAGTGGACGCGTACCATCCGCCGCTTCATATTACGTTGATGGTCGGGCCGACAGCAGGTAGCGCCATCGACTTTCATGGAGCGGATGGTGGTAATACTTCCATGGAGGGTAAAGAGGGGGAACGGCCTAAATGGAACATTTATAAAGCGGACTTTTCGTTGTTGTACGTCATGATATCGTCAGTGGACTGGACTTCAATTTTCAATATACAAGACCCGGAAGAGGCTTTATGTTATTTTTATGAAATTTTGAATAATATCTTAGACACATGTGTCCCCAGGAAAAAATCAAAACGCATTGACTCGCGATATAATTATCCCAAATGGTATACGGCTGATATTATAAGGAACATTAAATTAAAAGCCAAGCTACATAAACAGTATAAACTTACAAAATCAAATCAAGATTATACAGCATTCGCGTTATGCAGGACTAATATTAAGACTGCTCTTAAAAGTGCGCAAGAACGATATCAAGACAATATTCAGGAAAATTTTGCAAATGACCCTAAATCTTTTTGGGGATATATTAGGTCAATCCGGGGAGCATCGAGTGGACAACAGATCATGAAGGAAGGGAAGATTATAACAAAGGCAGAAAGTGCTACCGAATTCGCATCATTTTTTGAATCTGTGTATCGCACTGATCAGGCGATCCTTGACGTAAAGACGGCTGTTAGGTCAGGTGGCTCATCCAGTGCACGTGTGCACGTACCGAGTTTGGACTTACGTGACGTTGAAGTTGCACTAGCCAGCCTTAAGCCCAAGCGATCAGCGGGTCCGGATGGCATTCCCGCGTTTATATTTAGGGATTGTCGCAAACAGTTAGCAGAACCGCTCTTACATATATTTAACACTAGTTTAAAGTCAGCCGTCTTTCCGAACTGTTGGAAAATTACTAGAGTAACACCTGTGCCGAAGGGAAAAACGGGTTCAAATGTCAGTGACTACCGACCAGTCGCGGTATTATCGACGCCAGCTAAAGTGTTTGAGTCGGCTATACAGAAACGTGTGTATGAGCAAATAAGCTCATTTTCAGACTCTCAGCACGGTTTTCGACCAGGCAGAAGTACCACTTCGAATCTTATGAATTTCGCATCATACGTGACAAGGAATGTAGACAATGGTGTCCAGGTTGACGCGGCATACTTTGATTTTAAAAAAGCATTTGATTCGGTGGATAATGACATCCTATTGACGAAGCTTGCGCGCGTAGGGTTCACCCCACACTTGCTTACGTTTTTTTGCAGCTACATGAGTAATAGGCAACAATACGTGGACTATGAGGGACATGAATCTGAGATTTATGATACCAGATCAGGCGTAAGTCAAGGCAGCAATCTTGGTCCGCTTGAATTCATAATCATGATTAATGATCTACCGAGTGTTGTTCATCATGCCACCTGCCTGTTGTATGCCGACGATTTAAAATTACTGTTGGCTATCAACGATGAACATGACTGTGAGCGCTTGCAGGAAGACATCAATAGGGTTGTACAGTGGAGTCACGCAAATAACCTGTTTTTTAATGAGGCAAAGTGTTCTCTGATGACATTCGGACGTGCTCGGACACCTATCCAGTATGGGTATAATGTAAACTTGGTACCTATGCAGAGGGTGTTTCAGGTACGCGATTTAGGCGTCCTATTCACAGCCGATCTAACGTTCCGTGAACATATTCTGACCATTTGTAAAAAAGCCTACAGGAACTTGGGCTTCATGTTGAGGCAGACGCGGGGATTTACAAGAATTAGTGCCATAAAAGCATTATATGATGCCCTTGTAAGGAGCCACCTTGAGTGCAATGCTGTTGTCTGGTCGCCTCATGAGTCTAAGTACAAAACTATGATGGAGCGCATTCAAAATAAATTTACGCGACATTTGTACGGAAAAATATATGGTATTTACCCTTTTTATCCTCTGGAGTATCCAAGTTTGTTCGTACTTGGCATGGTGGGTTATAATAGGCTAGAAGTACGTCGGGACTTCACATTAACACAGCTAATTTTTAAAATATTAAGAGGGTTAATCTATAATCCTAGTATACTAGAAAGGATCTCTTTGTGTGTGCCGAACGACTACGTTGGGAGGCGACGAAAGCCACGGTTATTGTTAGTGCCGAGAGGTAGGACGAATATGA